AGCCACTGCTGGAAATATGTGATATGTGTTTGAATCCATATTTCTTTGAAGATTCCCATTGTAATTCTTGCCACCATACTTTTGCTACTAATAATGGATTTAATTTTTCTAAACATGCATTTCAATGTAGAGAGAAGTTAGATACCAAGGGTGTATGTATTTGGGATTCTTCTCTTCCCTTGCGGATAAGGTTGCTCAAGGCTCTGTTGGCTTGTATTGAGGTAAATTGACAATAGCTTAATATGTGTTTTTAGTGATTTTCATTTAGACTGGTTAGTTTCCAGTAGTGCGTCTTTCCTATTAATTTAATGGTTATTTTGTTTTCTTATTTTGTGTTTCAGGCTTCTGTTCCTCTTGAAGCATTACAATCAATTTGGACAGAAGAGAATAGGAAGCAGTGGGGTGTGAAGTTGAGCAAAACATCTACAACTGATGAACTCTTGCAGGTTTTATGCCATATCATTTAAGTACTAGTGTATCTTACAAATCCTCATATCATTTTGAAGTTTTTGTATTTCTAAATAGAGCAATGCATCCTGCAGCTATTGACCTTGTTGGAGAGGTCAGTACAGCGAGACTTTCTGTCATCAACCTTCTCTACAACAGAAGAAATGTTGGGATCAAGCTGCATGCCTGACAATGCTGTAAATGCTTCTACCGATACTGAATCAGTTCCTGTGCTGCCATGGGTACCACTAACTGCTGCAGCCGTGTCATTGAGAATTTTTGAGTTCGATGCATCCATCAGTTACGTACCAGCTGAGAAACATGAGCCGCAGTTTGAGGAGAAAGAAGTGAGGGAATATGCGGTGAGTTCTATATTTCCTTGTTTATATCTATAGCTAATTTACCAAGCAGGCTAGATTGAGGGTTCCCTTTACATGGGTTCCATTTTTTTATGCTTGTATTTGAGTGAGAGTGTAGGTTTAGCTGGAAAGCTTTTGTGCTGATCATATTTAGAAGTCAATCCATCTAACTTGCCTGCTTTTCTTTTCTGCAGAGGCTTTCTTCAAGATATGCTCCCTTCAAATCTGGTAGAGCTATTGAATCAGCAGAATTAGACCATGATGAATTCATCAAGGAAGACAAATCTAGTAGAAGTGTTCGAAGCAGCAATAAACGTGGACGAGGGTCTCATGATCATGGACGGGGCAAGAAGTTGTCTAGAAGAACGCAAGAGCCAAAACAGCACACCGGGCGCCGAAATGTTAGAAGTGCTGAGAATTTGGGTCGAGGATTAAAACAGCAGGGGAGAGGGACACAAGGACAACCAGGTGGACGTGGTCGCCGAACAGTCAGGAAAAGAAGAGTGGAAAAAAGGGCTGTTGAGGACTTATTGCTGGGCCACAAGGGCGTCAGTCATAGTCCCAAAATCAGTAGAGAATCATTGAGAAGTTTGGAAGAGGAATGGGATGGAGAGAAGGAGGCAAGTCCCGTCCAAATAGATGGTGTTGATAACAGTAACAGTGCCGAGGAAGTTGAATCTGATGACAATGGGCAAGCAGTGGAGTATGGGCAAGGAAACTGGGAGGTAGGTTTCAATGGTGGCAGCTCCAATAGATGGGATAGAGATTTGGTTGGAGTGAGTGATGAAGAAGTGGTGGGTGTATCTGAAGATGACAATGGCATTGAAGGAGAGGAGTTGGAGGAGGAGTTGGAGGAGGATTCAGAGGAAGAGGTTATGAGTGAGGGGGAGGATTCAGATGGTGTGGGCAATAGAATGATGGTAAATGAAGAGGGCTCAGACTCAGCTGTCTCTGAGGATTCTTCTGATTAGAACATTGGACATTTTAGTGATCAAATGAAGGTAATTGAATTGCATCCCAAGGCTGCATTGCATTTTTTTGGATAACTGCCTGAGAAGTCATCTCATGGCTTGAGTGAGAAAGGGATGAGCCTCGGGGGTAGAATTATGATGTATATGCTCCATGAAAATGGAGCCCCTGTATTTTAAAGTAGTAGAGTTGAAGTTGAGGGCCTTTGTAGCCCAGCGTCATTTTAATTTTGTTGTCCATGTCATAGATATTCATTAATTTTATAGAAATATCATACCTTTAATATATTAGCTCTGGTGGACGAAACAATAGATATATGGGGCAACTTGAACTATTCATATTAAAATTAAGAGTAAAAATGTATTTTTGCTCTTAAATTATTTGCAAAGGAGAATTTAATATCTTAAACTTTTAGTTGAAGTAATTTTATTTTTAAAGTAATTATAACATAGTAAATTTGTCTTTGATGTTAAATATCTAAAATGTTCAAGTTAATTTTGTTAGCTGTGATGCCATGTAGATCCTTGTTGAATAGTTCACTGAAAGGACACAAAGGGGAATTGGACTGATCTTCTTTTTATGCATTCTTCGATCCTCCCTAGCCTCTCCCTTGTTCCTCTCACTCCCCCGCTTATAGGAGGCCCAAACCCTACCCCTTCAACCTTCGTAGTTTTTTCCCAACTACTTCTCTGTGAAGCCACAGCACATTGCTGGAAGTCACTCAAATTTGAGTTCTGGATGGTCCACCGATCAACTCTCCATCACCATTATTGCTCGCATTGGATCACTGCTCTTGCCCTTATCAGTCCACCGTTCGTGTTTGCAGCTAACGCTCTTGTCTTCTCATCGTTCCTGCTTATCAGACCACCGTTCTATTTTAGATTCAGTTCAGTCCGTTGATCTATTCGTGCTTTTGAATTTGAGTTCTAGATGGGTCGTTGATATTGAGTTTTGGATGGTTTGCCAATAACATTCTCTTCCCTCTCCAATCGAAATCGTAAACCCTAGAATTAGATCCAGCAGTTCCTGAAACAGTGTTCTCCTTGCTTACTTCACTCCTTTATTTATCTAGTTTGACCCTCCATTGTTGATCTAGTTTTCTTCTTTGTTTGGTTTCTGTTCCCTTTGATTTTGATTTCTTTTCTGTTTTTGGGATGTATCTAGTGATGATTCTTCGTCATCTATGACTTAATTAAGATTGTTGAATGAGATTATTAAAAATACCAGAAAAAATTTGCTGAGGAGATTAGAAATTTGCTGAATAGAGATTGTTGATTTGCTTATGTTTGATTTTGTCGATTGAGTTTATGATAATCTGTATGATTTTGTTGAATAATATGTTCGATTGAGTTTCTCATGAGTATCGTGTTTCTCACCAGTAATTATTCTTTATTCTTCCTTCACCCTCTTCATATCTGTTGGTGTCTGGTTTGAACCTGGAGGAGATGAGAGAATAAGGAGGAAGCTCTTGATTTGGTTGTGCTTGGGTTCAAACCATACACAGTAGCAGTTGGTGAATCCGACGGAGGGCTTGAAAGTTCGAATAAAGGAGTTGTGTTTCACGACCTTGGAATCGTCAAAGAGGAAAGAGTTAAAAAAAATTAAAATCTGAAGTTTGCCCTCCTTAAGTCAATCTAAAGTCCATGTTGGATGCCACCTAGCATGTTTTTGGTCAAACTTCTCCCTCTCTCACTTAACTTAATGGTCAATATTTGAAGATTTAATTTTGGGTGCAAAATGACTTCATTTTAAATCTTTAAATGTGAAATTACTACTACAAAGAGTTTATAACATTGAGTGCTCCTCCATGAATGGTTTAGGAACAAAAATAAACATTTACCATAAAATTAAATAGTTTGTATTAAATGATATTTACTCACTAACAAGATTATGAGAAATAAAATTAATTTTTTAGCCATTTGAACCAATTTAGATAATATATAATCTCTAGCATGGAACTTAATTTTTTTAGCCATTTGGATTAATTTAGACAATTTAGACAATATGGACAAGGTGTGTATTAAAATATTAATAGTTGGGTCCAATATTTTAAAAGCTAGATTGAATATTAAAACAAAAAAGTTAGCAAAATCTTAATTTTTATGGCATAATTGGTTAGACCCACAATCAAACTAATAACATAATAATTAAATAAAAATTTAATAAATATAATATGACCATAAATTAATAACATTATAAATAATAAATAATAAATAATAAATTATAAAATTATAATTTATAATTATAATTTATAAGTGGTCCTAAATAATATTATATACCTGTGAAGGATTAAAAATAGAGTTTCCTTTTTTAACCAAAAAAATGGAGTTAACTTCTAGAAGGATCAAATTTTAATTAGTTTTTTTAGCCTTTTTTTTTTGGCATGAGGTTCAAATCTGTTTAGTTTTCCAAAAACTACTTTAATTTTTTAATTCAACTTCAATTTTTAGCTCAATGACCACTCAATTTTGACTAAGCCCAACTCATTCATTAAATATTTTTGTCCAAAGCCATGGTCTAACTATCCGGACCTTAAAATAATAGTTGGGACCGTTTATTGACAAGGGAACCTAAATTGGTTAGTAATTGTTTGACGGTTTAAAGTGCCAAATCTGCCTAACTCTTTACTCCAATAAACTCAAGCCTCGACACATTAATTTTTTTTTGTACCAAAAAATTAACTAACAAATTATTGAAATCAAGGGAAGGTTGGTAAATGAAGAGTTTTAACGAGCTATAACATTTTGACCAAAAAAAAAATTAAATGAAAATTGCATTGATAGTTCATGTTGAAAAAGAAAAAGAAAGTTACCAAAAAAAAAAAATTCTCCCAAGGCCCCTTCTTTCAATAATGAGCGGACTCTAGTAGCGATCTTGTCAAGTGAATGTTAGGTGAGAATAATACGATGCTACGAAAACAAGTCTTCCAATTGACTAGGGGTATTCTTGAAGTCCTGGTTTCAATTAATCTATTTCAATTCCAATAATATCAGAACGGGTTGATATTTCTTAATCCTATCCCATCTTGTTTCATGAATACCCTCACGGCTAGTAATTTCTAATATTTTATTAACAGGAAAATGTCACGCGATCTTTTCCTATATCAGCATCATGGTTAATGTGAGTAGCTGCACCATAAGTTGTTTAAAATCAAAATAAACTCAACCTAGTTTAGACCAGATGTTTTCTTGAAAGAAAACACATTCTTACATATAATACCAACTACATTGAGCTAATTTCTATGTATGTATTTTGATTTGAATCAATTCATATCGAATTACTCCGTCTTTTCGTGCTAGATTTATCGAGATAATTGTAAATTCTTTCTTCCATCCTCAATCTAATTTTGGTGGGTTTTATTGTCTGTGAAAACGCTTCAAACCCAAAACACAAACCAACGACACAGAACGGCCATCTAACAGGGTTTGGCATTGATGCAAACAAGATAAAGAGAATATTATACACATTATACATTAAGGCATTCACCATGTCCCTTATGGTCCCAAGAGTTTCTTAATTCCAGCTTTCTGCTCCGATGTCAACCTTGTCGGGAATTTGATGTTGAACTTAATCCTAAGGCTGCCCCTCCTTGAAGGTTCTTTGGGAATTGGCATGCCTTCCTTTGGGACAACCTCTTCATAGGTTGGATGTATTACGTTGTTTATGGGAATGTTCAGAGTCCTACCATCCAGAGTAGTGAGATGCACAGTGTAGCCTGTTAGAGCTTCCGCAAGTGATATCTTTTGTGTCACTACCAGATCATTGCCGTCCCTTGTAAACACACTGTGGGTTTTCTCATCAATGATGAATACCAGATCGGCTGGGATAACATTTGGTTGTTCGTTTCCTTTCTCCGGGAAGGTGATCTTTGTCCCCTTTTTCCAACCTGGTTTTATTTCAATTGTTAAGATTTCCTCCACTGGTAAAGTTTTTCTGCACAAACGAACCAAATCATCAGAATGCAACATCCAGATGCAATAGAACAAGTGAAAGAACAACTAGTTTCCTACATTATCTGAGACACCTTAGAAAAATCCTTACACAGTTAATAATGGCAATGTCGTAGTCATTTCCCCTCTTTAAAGAAAGAGTCTAGTAACTATAAGGGCTACTTAACACCACATTAACGTTTCATTCAGTAGAAACTCCAACAAGAATGCAGGTTCTGGCACGGTGGCTATATTGATATTGAAAACAACCAGTTTGTGCTCTAATCAGAGAAGCTGCTGATGCTCTTTGATGATCCAAGATATTTTTCTAGTTTGATCCTACGAATTTGAAATTTTCAAATTTGGCACCTCGTACTAATTTTTTTGATAGTTTCTTCCGATCATATGGTGACTTTTTAGGGGCGATATATGGTGAAAATTTCGTCAAACAAAAGAAAGGAGGGAAATGGATAGGAGTTAATAGAACATGATATGAAGACAATATGCTGGAGAAAAAAATAAGCTACTCTGTTTTTCAAGCTAGCAAATCAGGAGTCAAGACATGAACTAATACCTAAAGCAAAGATCACAAAAAATTAACATCCAACACTTCTGTTTCATTATCAATCCAACAGCGAAAATCAATCTGCTCATAGAAGTATTTCTAGGCAAGCTTTATGTAAAAGCTGCAATAAAATTGAAAGGTTAAGTAAAGGCTACTTACCCGCTTGCATCTACGAGTTCCCTTGAGATCTTCATCTTCTTGGTAGTCCCCTTGTAGAGCTCCTCGAGGCTGCAAGGCAACGTGTTTTCAATAGGAGGTGCCTTCCGTGGACCTTGACTCATTGGCCTGTCTTCTCCAAATGAACTGAATATATCATCTCCAAAAATTCCACCAAAGGACCTTGAGCCACCTCTCATGCCGTCGACGCCACCCCTCATTCCTCCAAAGGGGCTTGAAAACCCGAAAAAATCAGCAAAAATGTCGTCTGCGTTTCTGGGGTTAAACCTAAATGTCGTTGGACCATTTCCAGTTGGGAAGAATGAAGCCCCACCAGCATCTGGAGGTGGCACCTGACCTTTGAGCCCTTCTTCTCCATACTGATCATAAATTGTCCTCTTCTGGGGATCACTTAGAACCTGCACAAGATCAATGTATAAAGTGAGTTCCCTCATCAAACACACTTACAGATCCTATATAACATAAAATTTCAAATGTATCGAGCTGATAAAGAAGCTTGGGCAAGGGATAGCCTGGACAAAGTTCAAAAATACCTGAACATAAAAACAGGGAAAGGGAAAAAAATAGCAGAGATTGAAAATCTAGAAAATCTTAATAACATTATCAAACAGTTGGTAGTCGCTCTTAAAGTGAAAGAAGGAGTCACTTGGTAAATGGACGCGCTAACACAGATTGAAACACACTAGCAGACATTGAAAATGAAAAACTAAAAAATCTGGCAATAACATCAACAGACAGTTGATCGATTTTCTTGGAGTGAAGGAAGAAATAGATAGCTAACTTTACCTCATAGGCTTCTGAGACTTGTTTGAATTTGGCTTCAGCCTCTTTCTTATTGTTTGGGTTCTTATCAGGATGCCATTTCATGGCAAGCTTTCTGTAAGCTTTCTTCAAATCTTCATCTGTAGCATTCTTGTCAACCTGCAGAATCTTATAATAGTCCACACCCATACTTCTTCGTCTTCGGAAGGTTAAGAGGTCGGTATGAGATTCTGTAAATACTTAGATAGATTTTCCCCTCAATAGGTCTCCTTTGAGGCTTCGGTTCGGTTCTGTTGCCAGTAGGAGCGCAAGACAATAGCAACCGATTAAGAGATATAATTTGCGTTCAGGCTTCAACAATTACGAAGGAAAAAGATTTGTCTGGAAGGTGCTCATTTCCCCAAAGGGACCAGAAAAGTGTGGAACTTTCGAGAGGGATAAATATAATCTGTTTCTGGCCGGTACATGTCTTGCGCGGTAAATTAACTAATCAATATCGTTCGAACGCAATCCAGTAGTTGCCGCAATCACTCAAAACGGCAGCAATTACTTGTCGTTTATTGAGAAGAGAGTTCTCTGTTCTCCAATCAAATTAACTAATCAATATAGTTCGAACGCAATTCAGCAGCACGCCTTAATAGTCACGGTTTTGGGAAAAAGTTCCAATATTGCGACAATGAGGAAATGGCTATCCAGAATTTGGGGGATTCCAGAGTTTGAAATCATTGACCTACTAAATAACTATTTTGTCGTCCAGTTCACTGATGGTAAGAAATGAAAAGCTCAATACACAAAAGTCCCGTTTGAAGGTCCTTGGATGATCCACCAGCATTGTGTAATTGTGCAGAGATGAGATCCTTTCTTTGATGCATACAACTACAGCAATGCACTTGGACGAACAACAATCTAGATAAGAATTCCCAATGTCAATATGCATCATTATAACAAGAATTTCGTTTAGAGGCTTGGAGACTGTGTGGGTAGAATGTAACATTCTCCTTTATTAAACACCATCAACCAATCAAATTCATGGTTATCAAATGATTAACCCATTTAGAAGATTATCAAGTTTTAGTTTTCAAATCAAAGGATCTCAAGTTTTCATGATCAAAATGAGTTTAAACCATCTATAAACTCTTATATCAGAGTAAAAATAAGTTAAGAAAGCATGAAATATCTCATATGAGTGAAAGAAATTGAAAATATTTGAAAAACAACTTAATTGCTGCAGAATAGGGCAATGCGCTAGGGCTCGTGGCATGTTGCTTTCTGTGCCACACGCCGTGGGTCAAGTGTAACATTCCGAGTTTTAATTCCCTGATTAATTAAACCTAATGAAGGTAATTAAGTAAATTGAAGTGATGTGTAACTAAAGAGGTCTAATAATCATGTTTGATGTTATTTCAGCCCTAGTTGTAGGTCCGGTATCGAGGCAGACTACTTGGGCATTGAAAGGAGAAGAAAAGGAAGAGTTGAAATTGTTGTGCCCTAGTTATTTCACCTTGGACGATCTACGCGCCATGGCGCACAACCATCTCTAAGCAAGGGAGGACCTCTCTGTGCCATACGTCGTGATGCGTTGTGCGTTCGCTATGGCACATGGTTATTTTCTGCACTTTATCAGACGTGAAATGAGATAGAAAAAGAAAGAAAAGAAAAGAGAGAAAGAAGAGGCGTACCAATGCTCTGCTAGGGTTTACTTAGGGATGACTTTGGCTACAAACACCTAAGGTAAGTATCATACTCATTAACTCCCCATTTCTTCCATATTTATGAGTTTATGGTTAAGGTTTGATAGTGAAAGTGGAATTTCAGTCTATATAGGTTATAAGTCCGAATTTGTTGACTCAAATAGAGTTAATGGAGATAGATTAGAGTATTTAAACCTAGGTATATTCAGTTTTGGTGTCTTAGGTTGTTGGGCACCATAAATACCCAAAAATCTCATTTTTTATGGGTGGTTGGAAGTTTGTGATGCCATTAATGAGGATTTAATGGCTCATTAATGCTATTGGAGGCTAAAGGTAACTATTGAACCCAATGGTTAGGCTTCACCTCTTGTTAAGTGAAGGATTGGGCAATTTAGAAGTAGAAATTGAGGGTTCAAATGTTTAAGTTTGTTATGCTGATGGAGTTCAACTTGATTGACTGTAGTTTTAGCTCTTGGTCACCTATTGGAGTGGAAATTTAAACTTGGAAGCTAATTGATTGAGGGATAAACCTTTAATCTCTCAAAAGTTTGAGATAACTGGGGAAAAACTTTAGTTTGGATAGTTATATGTTAATTGATTGTTGAATGCGAATGGTGAATGTTACATGCATGAGATTGATTTTTATGTAAAATTATATATTAGTTTTCAATAAGTGTATGAAAATTTGATTGAGCACAATGCTATTTTGGCTTATGCAAAGTCAAAAGCATTTTACTATGAAAATGCTTATGTTTTGAAAAATGAACGCGATGATGAGTAGAGATATTTGTGAGTTAGTCATAAAATGAATTTGAGAAAATGATGAGTATGCACACTTGGATAGTGCAAGGTCGTGAGCCCCAAGTGGTTGTTGTAATAGTATGAAAGCGAAAAAGTAAACTCAAATGAGTAATGATTATGGTACGATTAATGGTGGGAGTTCGCCTAGGGATTTGAGAGTAGAGAAAATTTATATAGTAATTAGGCTGCCCTCTAGTGCACGAGGGCTATAGCTTTGTCTCACTGTTTGTCGAGGGACTGTCCCATAGTTTGTCAAAAGACTAGAACCTAGCTATTTCTACCAGTTCAATGAGGAGAATAGCTTAGGGTATGAGACACCTCAGGGATTTAAAAATGGGGGAAGTCGTGGTCTGAGAGTGAGTTCTGTGATCTTTGGCTGAGTCACACCTCATAATTGGTGGGTTTGGGTAATCTAGTCACACGGATGGAGCCTTAGTCAGTGTTATAGCCCATGGTTTCAATCTGAGGAAATAAGGAGGATATAAGGTTGGTTAATCATTGTTTAAGTAAATATATGTCGTGTCACACGTGCTAAATGGTGGTAAGTCACACGAATATGAGTCATGTCACATATCTAAGAATATGGAAATAATGTTGTTGGATAGGGAAGCATAGTAGAATATTAAAATTTTAAAGTTCCTATCCTGATATGGATCGAACGAACTCGTTTAAGTTAAGGTGAATAGAAGAGTTACCTTTTAATTTTTTGAAGTTGGCGTATGTTTGGATCTTAGGAGCTGACAACTTAGATCTGCTCCCTCTATCGATATCTACATGAACAACTCTCTAACTCGAACAGCGTGCTAGCGCTCTCAGCATCTAATATACTTTGAACGTTAATTTTTCTTTCTATAGGGTGTTTCATGGCTCTCAAAGTGTTTTTACCGTCAGAACTTTTCTAACTCTCTCTCTCTCTTCATAAGGACGTCCTTATCTATATATAGTATATAGATAAGGGTTTTTGTTTTCCACTTAAAAGCTCACGAAAATTTAATTAAATTTATCTCATAAGTTTAATCCATAATATCATATCTAATTTGAATTTATCTTATAAATTCAAATTATAAAACTGACATGATATTCTCTCTTATCATGTTAGTTATAAAATTTAATCTATCATATAAAATTGAATTTAAAACTAACATAATATAATACAAGATAATATAATATAATATATATCACATATACATATTATATATATACGAATATATGTATACATATATATTTTAAATATATATATATTATCTATATTTATCTATATTTAATTTTATATATCATATACATATATTATATATATATATATATCATCGATGATCCAATGTAACCTATCATGCAACTATATCACATTCCTTTTATCACGTGATATTTCGATTAAGTATGAGACATGAAGTTGTCATTCTCCTTTACCTAACCGTTACTTTCTCAATTTTTGAGTAGACTGACAGTAGCAATGGAAAAATATTTTTCATTGTAGTATGGCCATAAATTTTTTCAGTTTTACTCATCAAGGGGCCCAGTAATATCTCTCACTTAATGTCTTGATCATGCATATTCCTTTGCATGAATATCACTAAACTCAATCGTAGCCTTTATGATCACCTGATCAAAGGCGACTTTTGACTAGGCCAAAGTTCAGTGGTCATCATATAGGAATCTATGATTATCTCAGGTCAAAAACCTTAGTGATATAGTTATATATGAGATAAGCTTATAACTTGTACCATGTAGCTTTCTCATAACAGGTCGATCCAACACCTTATACTCTTTCAAGTGCTTATGACTTTAATTTGTATCTCTATAATTAATAAAAGTCATACTAGTCTTGTTTCATCTATGATCCCTTAAAGATGACCGACCAGGGACATTTAGGACAATCACTATAGTTTGTCCAAGGATATAGTTATCATATTGAACATGCAATTATTATGATAACAAAAGAAAAATTCATTAAATAACAATGTGCATAGTACAATGATTGGTACTAGGGCACAATTTCCAACAAATGCACCTAGTTACATGAGTTAAAGAAGCTATATAGTGATAAATGGTAAGTTATGATATATGTGAGTTTGATTTGCATATTTGATCTTCTTGTGCATGTATTTGTTTTATAATTAATATATAACTACATAAGGTAGGGTTAACCTTAGTTATTGAGTGGCTAGACTCACCCCTCTTATTTAATACTTTTCAGGCTCTAGCTTTGATGTTAAGAGGGAGAAGACTAAAGAGGCAAGGAATTAGTATATTCCTACTGTATGCCTCTAGTTTAGCTTTAATTGTGTAATAGTATATGGCATGCCAATTCTAGAATGCATATCACCACACTTGCATTATTTTGATTGTTGGAAATGTTAAAATTATATTTTAGGTCCTTAGCCTTTGTGTATGTTGATATATATATATATATATATGTTTATAGGGTCAAAATACTAGTGCAAATGTAGAAATGAAGATTTAAGCATGTTTTGATGATTTGAGTTAAATACAATGGCAAATTACCTCCCTTTTTGTTTTTTATAAAATGAGATTAAGGAGTGAATTTTTGTTATATTGATATTTTGATACTTGTGATATGATGTATTGGTAGTCCTAAATCCATTGGATATGGTCCAGGTGTTAGGAAAAGCTTTTGGCACTTGTTAAGAGTTTTAGACACTCATTTTGTGTAAAAGTGTTGAAAAGTAGTCAAATTGTATTTGGGTGTCCAACTTTCTAGTGTGACTTATTTTGAAAGTGAAACCCATACTATTAACTAGTTCATGTAAAGAGCTTTCTATAGACACTTAGATCATGTCATTCAGACGTCAGACAGAGAATCAGGGCGAGTTGAAAGTTCCCCCAATTTTGCTATCAAATGATAGTAGAACTAATGAAATTTTATGCAACATGCCGTGGCGCATGGTGCCTGAGCCACGGTATGTGGCATAGA